AAGACTACTTGGAAGCGGTTGACAGGTAAAACGCTTCAGCCCCATTTCCTAAACAGGACAGAAGCGTTTGTGTCTGAAATTACAAATATATTCTGGTAGGGAACCGGTTCTAAAACGGTTCTGTCTGAAATGACAGACCAGAAACCGTTTGGGAACCGTTCCTCTTCCGGAATATATCGCCTGTCTGAAATTCCTCACTGTCTGCTGCCTGAGGTGATATCGGTGTTCCTTGTCTTTCCAGGTTGCTGGTGAAACTGCAGGAGCTGAATTATAAACTGAAAGTGCAGGTCGTATTTGATAAGTAAGTGACATCTTGTACGCGGGGATCCATCCAGACATAACGGTTTTCCTCTCCCGCTCGCCGATCAGCCTCTGCTCTTCTTCATTCCAGCAACGCTGTCGTTCTGCTTCCTCTTTCTGTAGCGGCTTTGATTTCTTTTCTCATGTGGAGCTTGGAGTAAAAGATCGAGGACCCTGACCTGGACGGCCCAGGCTAGCCCAATCTCATTAGATCTTGGAAGCCAAGAAAGGCCAGCCCTGGTTAGTACTTGGATGGGAGATCCCGAAGGAAAGTCAGGGTGGCTGTGCAGAGGCAGGCCATGGCAAATCCCCTCCGATTATTTCTTGCCTTGAAAACCCCATGAAGGGTCACCAGAAGTCAGCTGCGACTTGACGTTGCTTTTTACCGCCGAAGGGTAGAAGTTGTTTGCTTTTTCTTTGCCGCACTGCAAGAAAAAGGGTGACTGCACAGTCCGGCAATGAAATGAAAGGAAAACCGTGCAGAGTGCAATGCCCAATAGAATAGATTTATATAAATTGTGATAGAATATATTTCAGTCCCAAACAAACACTGAGCAAAGCCATTGGTGAAGGATTGAATGACTCTGGAGATTCTTGATATGCTTTTCCTGATTTTGTATACAGCACTTATTGTGGGCTCTTTTCGTAGCAGGAACTCCTTTGCATATTGGACGACACCCCCCCCCCCCCTCTCCTTCAGCATATCACAACTTTACAGTCGCCCCTGTAAGAAGAGCTCTATAAGCTCTTAGAGGATTGGCTACAGTAGGGGTGTGTCGCCTAATATGCAAAGGAGTTCCTGCTACAAAAAGAGCTCTCAGTTCTGCTTTGATAAAGCTCTGCGGCAAAACGAGGCTGACTGGATTTAGCGCGCTCATAAAAGACTTCTCCTGGGAACCGTCTGCATCAGATCATTTCGTGTATTTAGGATTGCTATATATGGTCTCTTATTGAATGGTCTTGATATTATGTACATTTATATTCCATTCTGTGAAACGTTATCCATTCCCCTGTTCAGTTTCTTGTTCATGAAGTTCATTAGTTATTGGTGATAGAATTCTATAAGAGGAACTGTCTAGGCAGTTTGGGATTGCAATATCCTTTCTATTGAACACCGCATTCTGTGCAGTTTCCTTTCATCGCTTTTCTTTGCCAGGCACATTTTAATGGAGTTTGTTTCCCCCTTGTCAGTACCGCCGTTTTCTCTTTGTTTTTCTCCCAGCAGTAGTTTTTCAGCTTAAAAGCTTTTTAGTTTTCTAAAATTCGCCAAGGGCGAATGATATGGAATTTGCATTTTCCTCCCTAGTCACATTTTCCTCCCAAGTAGCCCATTCTCCCTTCTTCATTTCACCTTCACAAAACCCAGTGAGGTAGGTCAGGTTGGGATAATGCAATTGGCCCAAGCTCACCAAGCAGACTTAGTGACTGAAGATTTGAATCTCTTTTTTGCCCCTGAGGTTCTGATCCAAATGAGGCCTCCGTAGTGCCTGGGAAATGAGTTCTCAGTAGTTGACGGTCTGACTGGAGACAATGAGAGTCAAATTGGGGAAACCAAGTCCCAGCTTGGCAAACAAATCTTGTGTCCCTCAGATACCACAAATGTCAGACTTTCCATGTTTTTACGCGAAAAGTTTTTTCTCAATTATATAGGCATCTTGGCAAGAAGCGTGTAGTAGGGCCTACAGGTTTGAACGCAACATTCTTTCTTTGTGGTGTTTTCCCCCCGTTGATATTTTGATAAAATAAGAGAATTTCCCTTTTCTTCCTTTGCAGAGACGTGAATGAAAGGAACACAGTAAAAGGGTATGTTTTCTCCCTGTTCGTGCCCAGCAATGCCTTTTGTTAAATGTCAGACCTGTTTCCTCACAAACGTCTATCTTTCTGGCTATATAGGTTTAGAAAATTTAACATCTTGGGGACAAATACCAAAGTGATGAATATGGAGGAGTCGAATGGAAGTCTGTCAGCAGAATTCAGACATCTGGTGAGGGTGCTTCGTAAAGAAACTATTTTCAGGGTTTTTTTCCCCTTAATGTTCTTCAGGACAGGAAGCTAATTACACCCCTCAGTCGCAGTACGGGATGTTAAAACGTAGCAAGACAAGCAGAATTTTAGCCAGTTGGTTGCATGTTGCTAGACTTGGT